TTACCCTTTACCAAACTTTGATGACGCATTACGTTTTCTTTCGGGAGCAACACGATTCACGATTCTCGATTTAACTAAGGGTTTTCTCCAAATTCCTTTGACTGACGACGCGAAAGCAAAAACTGCTTTTATAACCGAAAAGCAGACTGGTCAATTTGAAAGAGTAAATTTTGGATTAACCAATGCTCCCTTTTACTTTGCCAAATTGATGCACAAAGTTCTAGGCAAAGTACAGGGGAAAGTGGTTTTTAATTTTTTTGACGATACATGCATACCATCTACGTCATGGGAGGATATGATTAAAAAATTGAGAACTGTCCTTGAGTTGTTGAAGGACGCTAAATTGACCCTCAACATTTCTAAATGTCGTTTTTCGATGAAAACTGTTGAATTTTTGGGATTTAAGATCGGTATCGATGGATTACAACCGAGTGACGCGAAAACACAAGCGATTAAAAATTTTGAACGACCTCGAAACGTTCATGAAGTTCGTAGTTTTCTTGGTTTGGCGAGTTTCTTTCGACGGTTCGTTCCCGGTTTCGCCAAGATTTCAGCACCGCTAACTCATTTAACAAAAACTAAAAATTGCGAAAAATTTTCGTGGGGAATTGAACAAGAAGATAGTTTTCGAGAAATTAAATTTAAACTTACGAGTTATCCGGTTCTAATGATTTACAACCCTGATGCTGAAGTTACGGAACTTCACACAGATGCGTCCTCGCGTGGAATAGGAGGAATGCTTTTGCAAGGTGATAAGAAAAATTTGCGACTAGTTTATGCTGTTAGTAGAAGGACATCCGAGGTCGAAAGCTCATACCATTCAAGTAAGCTTGAGTTGATGGCAATTGTTTGGGTTGTTACGCGATTACGAGACTTTTTAATATCACTTAAATTTACCATTGTCACGGATTGTCAGGCTCTTGTTAACATTAACGCGTTAAAAACAAAACATCCTCAGATCGTTAGATGGCTGGGGATAATTGCGGAATTTAATTTTACAATTAAACATAGAGCTGGCGAACAAATGGCACATGTTGATGCCCTGTCACGTAGACCAGTAGGTGAGCCTGATGATTTGATTGATGATGTTTATATTTTCAATGTTGAAACGCGCGAAGATGAGCTGCTTTTATTTCAACGATCTGATTCTGAGATTTTGCGTAAGGTAAATATTTTCAAAAAAGATCCGAAAGATCGTGATAAGTCTGAGAAAAACGAAATTAAAGATTACAAATTATCTGACGGGATGTTGTACAAACTGATTAATGTAAACGACACACAGCGCGAACTTTATGTAGTTCCTCAATCCATGCGTAAAACAGTAGTTATTCGAAATCACGATCTGAAAGATCATGGCGGCGTCGAAAGGACTTTAGCTAGAATACGCAAATTTTTTTATTTCCCGAAAATGAAGAAATATGTTCAAGTTCACGTTAAGTCTTGTCTCGAGTGTATTTTGTCCAAAGGAAAACCGGGGAAACAGGAAGGCGAGTTACACCCAATACCTCCTGGTAAACGCCCCTTTGAAGTTGTTCACATAGATCATTTAGGTCCTTTCGTCGAAACGCCACGTAAAAACAAATATATTCTTGGCATAAATGATAACCTTACTAAATTCTCGGTAATCGAAGCAGTAAAGAATACGAGTACTAAGATTGTAATTTCACGACTAGAAAGATTTGTAAATACCTACGGAGCGCCATGTAAAATTGTAAGCGACAGAGGAACATGTTTCACTTCGAAAGCGTTCGAAAAATTTGTTCAAGATCACGGCATTAAACATGTACTTAACTCTAGCAGACATCCGCAGGCGAACGGAAATATTGAACGATTAAATGGCACTATTTTGCCTGCTTTGCGCGCTAAACTCGGTACTCTGGATGCGAACAAATGGGACACGCTTCTTCCCAGTTTACAACGCGACTTAAATACATCTGTATCGAAATCCACTGGATGTTCTCCATTCGAAGCCTTGTACGGTTACATTCCTCGTTTTTCAGAAGGCGCTACTCGTCAACTCACTGTAAACAGCGAAACTTATCGAATTCCATCTGAATTACAATCCGAAATCCGTGAGAACATTCAAAGTGCACAGAATGATTATAAAACGCGTTACGATTCTAAGCGATTGAAAAATGTGAGATACAATGCTGGAGACATTGTTTATATGAAAACGAATCCGATTGCAACAGGTGAGTCTACCAAATTGCAGCCTAAGTTTAAAGGTCCGTTGGTAGTTACACGAGCCTTGAATCATGACACTTATGCGGTGACTAGTCTTCGAAACGAAGGTGCAAAAAGATCGTCTACTACGGCACACGTTAGCCAATTAAAAATTTGGAATCCGCGAAATACGTTCAACGACGATTATAGTATGTCCGATTCCAATTCCGATTCAGACGACGAAATTGATAAAAATAATAGGGAAATAGTTGATCAAACTGTAAACACAAATGTTAATTCTCAAGTAATTCAAAATCAACAATCACCTATTGTACTCCGACGAAGTGCGAGAATTAGAAAAGCTCCGAATTACTTTTGAGATCGCAACTAACAATAATTTCTTTTTACAATTTAATTACTTTTATAATTTATATCTTATTGTAATAAAATTTTACAGTGATTGTGATATTACTTTGAAGCGAATATCTTAAGTTTGAGGACAAACTTCTGTCAGGATGACCGACTGTTAGCAATTTTCATATTAACGATATTATAAATTTATTTTGAAATAGTGCGTGTGTGCAGTATGGACGCAGAGGGCGTTGTGTGGAGCGTTGGCTCGTTTTGGTTGTACGTAAGTTTGAGTTAGTTGAAAAATGGCATGAGATGCGTTATTGTCACGTTGTCAAGGGGACGTATGTCCGTTTTGTTCGAGTCAATGTATATTCCTTAAATTAATATAAACAATTACTTTTTCACTTTTATTTAATGTGTCATCATTAAGAAAAACCATTAACATACATGATAGAAATTCAGTTAAATAAAATTTCTGTCAAGAAGAAATTGTGCTAAGCTAAATAAATAAAAATTTTGCTAAATGGAATTTTAGTTGAATAAAAATTCTGCTGAATATAAATTTGGTCAATAAAAAACTCTGTCAAGTGAAGATTCTACTTAATAAAAATTGTGCTAAAATTAAATTCAGTTTAATTAAAATTCTATTAAATGAAAGATTTACTAAAAATTCTAATGATTCTAATTTTCTAATTAATGAAAATTCTGTTACATAAAAAATAGAAAATTCGACATTATAAATTCGTACTATATATGTAATGATTTTTAGGGAATATTTATGTGTCTTTATTGTTTGTAAATTCTAAATTAAATATTAACAAAATAAAATCAAAGTATGAAAAAACTATTTATACTGAAAAGTTCAATATATTTTTCATAAAAAATATTTTTAACAGTGTGTTTACTATATTATTATAGTCAGGTGGAGTGCTTATTTAAGCATGCCTTTGGACCAGAAAATACTAAGCTGGGAAAAAGCAACTATATATAACGTCGAAAGTTATATCGATATAAGTTTGTCTAAATTGTGATCGATATCCTTGTTAAAATCGTTACATAATTTTCTTTCATCGCACCTCTCCATTTGACGAGTATATATTTTTTTTTTGTAATACATTTAAACCTACTTTATTATTTCCCTTCTATTTCCCGAGTTCACTCTCCTTTTGTTTCCGCCTAAAATTCCATTACCATTTTGTGATTTATACGCATAGTTCTCTTTACTTCAAAAGTGATTCTCTATATATGTGAAAGCTTTAGCCATCTAATCATTAATAATAATATACGACTACACGAGAAAATTTATCGCAGTACCAGCAAGTTGGAACTGAATAAAAAACACTTATTTTCCTCTCGTTTCATATTCATAAGGAACAATAAAATTAAAAAAAAAAAGCTCGATGAATACAATGATATCAAAAGGGTTACCTCTATACGCCAGAAATTCTTTATAATTTTTTTTTCAACTTCACCGTATAATTGAAAAAGTTTTTGATAACAAAAAGAAATTATCTTTCACATTTCGTTGCTTAAAAATAAAATTTTTTTTAGCAAAATTTGAAAATAATAAAATTTTTTTTTGATTTTAGATTTTAAATATTAATATTTTAATAAAAATTCTTTCGACTTCGAATTATTGTAAAGTATTCTTTTTAAATTTAAATTTTTTTTTCAACTAATTTGAACTGACTTTTTGCTACAAATTAATTAAAACTTTTACTAATTCAAATTTAGAGAGTAAAAAAGTTTTTTTATAAACGAATCAATTTTCTTTAAAACAAATAAAATTTCTTTTACACAAAAGAAATTCGTCTATAAAATAATTAATATTAAGAAAATAATTTTTATTATTCATAAAATAATTATTTTATATTTCAATAAAATTTATCTGCAAAAAGAAGTTTATTTCAAGTCAACGAAATATATTAGTTGATGAAATTAATTTTCTTAAAGTATCAAAAATCTTGTTTTTTACTCAACTTAATAAATTTTAATTTATCATCTATAGCTATCTATTTGAAAATTTTGTTCAGATTTTTATTTTTATAATTTTTTTTTATAATATTATTCAGTGTATTCTAGAAAATTAACACACAAAATACTAATTTACAAAGATATAAAAAAAGCAATAAGTGAATTTATTGATTTTAATTACGAAAATAATAATAATTGTGAGAAAATTAAAAATCTTTGTTATATATTTTAAGTGTTCAAAAATTGAATATCAATTGTGCAATAAATGTCAAAGAAAAAACAAAAGTGAAGTAAATATATATACATATATATACGAATGTATATATATATATATATTATAAAGACAATAAGAATGGACCGAGAAACACACAACAGGCATCCAGTATAGATATTTAAGAAGATAAAGAGATAAATATTTTGGGATCATTTATACGGCACAATATATATATATATATAACAAAAAGTTAATATTGATGAGTAAATTAAAATTAAATCTGTAAATGACTTACCGGAAGGTCATGAAGCGACGGAGTTACCACTAAATCCGAATAGGCTCGATCTCCTTTTCTCTAAAAAATGTAAAGTAATTTTTTTCAATTACTAAAGTTTTTTTCATTTTAAAAATTTTTTATTTAGATTCAAAAAAAAAACAATTCAAGATAATAAAAAATATATAATAAAATTTAAAAGATAACAAAAAATAATTGAAAAACAATGCAAGATAATAAACAACAAAAAATAAGATAACAAAAGATGCTTAAAGATAATAAGAGAAAAACAATATATGTAATTAAAAAAAAAAAGAAAGAGAAGAGAAAAATTTAATTACTCTGGACATTGCGACACGTGGCCTGTAGACTAAATCATCAAAGCAGACTCTATCTTTGCTGTCGACAAGTTCTCTAAGTTCAATGAGCAAAGTGAGCTTTTCATGAGTGTTTAGAAGATCAGCTAGACTTGCCACAAGTTCCTCAACTGTTATCCTTCGAGTTCTATAATCAGCCAAAAGTTGTGAAAGGGCTGCTCTTTCACTTCTGGCAAGAACAACCCTCGCTTTCTCTTCCACCATTGCCGCTGTGGCTGCTGATACAGAATGAACACCTCGATGCCTCCATTCGTTAGTGCTATTCCTAAAGAACAATACAATACAGCTAATTTACTTTTCTTATTACTCTCAATTCTGTGTAAATGGTACTGGCAATTTCTTCTTGTTCTTAATGACTATATATTTTATTAAACTAGTAAAATAAAAACTATACAGAAATGGAGATTTCTTTTTTCAAAGAATTAATAATTATTCACAATTTATAATAAATAATTAATTAACTTTGATTCATTGGAATTTTTAGGATTTCATTTAATCTTATTACCAACTGATAAAACGATAATTATTATTATTAATTATTACCCTTTAAATTTGATTATAAAATTACATACTGTATCAGTTTATTATTAAATGAATAAAATTAATTTATAAATTAAATGAATTCAAAATACATTTAAGTGATTATTCAACTATAATTTTAACAGAATGTCACTTTCAGTTTTTATATAATTAAAACTTTTATAATCATTGAAGAACATTGAAATTATATTAAATAATGAATTAACATTAATGTCATTTGTGACTGAATATTAATAGATTAAAAAAGTTTTCTAGTTAAAAATGTTTCATCTAATATTAAGGCGATTCAACGCTTTTATACATTAAATAGAATAACTTACGCAGGACTAGGAGGTCGATGATTTGGGGGACTTTCAAGTATCATTGAATCATGATCCGGATACCTAGACACAGGAACAACCATCGGTGTACTTGTCGTACAGGAATGGGGCACTTTGCCAACATCACGAATCAGAAGAGACATTCTTTTATTCGTTTTAAGAATCTGGACGGCTTCGTCGTGAGTTGCTTCCTCGAAGCTTTGTCCATTCACTTCAAGTATTTGATCGCCTATCTATAAATCAAGCAGAGTAATAATTTAAATAAAAAAAAAATTTTTTTTATAATTCATTTTTTTTATCCTAAATTCTGGTACATTTTTTTCTTTTTTTTTACAGTGAAATAAAAATAGTCTCTTCTAAATTATTTTAAACTTTTTTTTTGAAATAGTTTAAAAAATTAAGATGAAGTTACTTTTATAGTTTTCTACAAAAATAAAAAGTAAAATCGTAAGTTGAGAAAAAAAAATTCTAAACTAATTTTATCAATTCTTTTAGTAAACAAAATTTCGGGAAAAAAAAAATTAAATAAATTTCAGATTTCAAAATTTGAGAACTTACCAAAAGGCCAGCACGATCGGCGACACTGTCTTTGTCGACTCCAGTTACATAAATACCCAAACCATACTCGAGACCACCTCTAATCATAAGTCCAAGAGATTGACCAGGTTCTATGCAAAGTTCAACCTTACGAGTTCTTGGACCATAACGTGAGTCACGCGGATGAAGTGGAGGTGGCGATGCTGGTCGACCCTGTCGGTCCATCCAACTGCAAGACTGTTGTCTTCCGGTAGCGGTCCATACTGGATGACCACCTCGACAACGAGGATCCAATGCTGGACCTCGTACTGTCATACTCAATGTCCGACAAGATTTTAACATCTGCGAACAAATCAAAAGAGTCATGGGTCTTCGTTAACTGTTCACTGATAATTCTAGATCTTAACCCGGATTGACATTTTAGCTCCTATTCCATTATGGTGCTCACAATTTTTCCTTTTTTTTTCAGAAAAATTAATTTTTTTTTTTTTTTTTTTTTGTTCTTTCATAAAATAATAATTAATTAATCAGTGACAATATTTTCTGATAAATAATGAATCATTAACATTACGAATTCAAATAATAATTTACATATTTTTGTTATTAAAAAAAAAGAATATAATTTTTATAATTATAAATTTTATATAAAATTTAAATATAAATTATAGGTACAATATTAATAGTATAATGAAAAAAAACATTCGATTCAAATTTATCGGTTATTTGACTGTTATCAAATAAATATTTACTTGAACCAAATAATTTTTATTTGAATTAAATAAACTGTATTTGAATCAATAATTTCTGTATATGAAAAAAAATACCATCTCAAATAATTATTTGATACAAATAAATATTTATTTGATAAATAGTCAAGTAACCGATTATTTGAATCAAATTAATTTTTTTACAATAATTGTATTTATTACAAAATTATATTTATAAAAAAACTGAACAAATAAATAAATAAAAAAATATATAATACACATTATTATATGAATTCGTTAAGTAAAAATCGAACGAAAAATCAAAGTAAAAGTTAGTCCAACCTTTTGAGATTTAAAAAAAAGCAAATTTTAATTAAAAAGTGTTGCAGTGAAAGTGTCGATAATTTTATTTTCAACTATAAACTATAAAACGCTGTTCAATAGGAAACTCAATTCTTTTTTTTTTTTTAATCTGAAATATCCCTATGTAAAATTGGACTAACTTTTTTTTCAATTTTTTATCCTATTTTTTCTTAAATAATGAGAAATTAAATGAGATTATTTGCGTATTGCTTTTAGAATACCTTTTTTTTTTGTCTATGCATATAAACATTGTTAGACAAATTTTCTACTCTATTAAAATTGGTGTAAGAGTAATAATTATATTATTCTAATGCATCGCTAATTTTATTATATGGTTCGGATCATTATTCAATATAGTCAACTGTATCAAAAATTATTTAATCAATTTTTATATTACTATCAGGAAAATAGGCCAATCCGGACTAACCTCTTTTGATAAGACAGAGCCTAAAACGAGTGTGCAAGTGAAATTTTCAAAAAAATCACAACAGAAAAAAATAATTTTTTTTTTTTCAAAGAAATTCATGCATTTTTAAAGATGAACGAAAATGAAAGCAGTAAAAAAAGAAAAATCAAAATTAATTGTATTTGTTAATATTAAATATAATAAATTATACTTTAAATAAAATATTTAAAAGTAACAATTAAAAACAATTATAATTTTAAAAATAAATGAAAACTAAAATAAATTTACAAGAGAAAAATTAAAAAAAAAAAAAAAAAAAAAAATTCAAATATATTGCTTTTTTTGTAAAATAAATATTTTACAAAATTATTTCAGTATAAAAGTAAAATTTTCTGGAATTGGTCATTGCACTCTGATTTTTGGCACTATAATTAATTCTACTGTAAAATAAAATTAATTAAAAACTTAACTTTGAAAATAAAAATAGGTGTTATAGAAAACCCGAAATGAACCTATTACAATAAACGTGCTATTTTCTTTTTTTTGAAAATAGTATTGCGATGTAAAATTTTTTTTAATTTTTAAAAATTACGAAATTTTACAAAAGTAAACAATTATTAGCAATTATTAACAATTTTTAACAATTAATAGTTGTTTATTAAATTTTATATTAAAGAGAACGATACTTTTAAAATATTAATTTTAAATTATTTATAATTATTAAATTCTTTTTATTATCATGAACCATGAATTTTTATCACCATTAGTTAATAATCATTAATTAAATATTAAAAAATATTAACTTTTATACTTTTTATTTCAAAAAAATCGTTATTATCTAGTTTTGAGATATTAAAATTATTTTTCACAATTATTAAAAAAATTCTCTTTTCTCTAAATTTGCATCGCAATATCATTTTACCAAAAAAAGGGGGGATGTCGAACAATAAAATATTCTTCACTATTAATAACTTAGTGCACTGAAAAAAGTTTTGGTTAATTACACCATTATAAAAAATTCTAATTATTTAACTAGAATAATAATTATTATTTTTGCAATAATTCTAGTTAAAACAACAGAAATAATTTGCTAAGATTATACTTTGAAAAAAAATTATTTAATACAAGCATCGAAATTGTTACTAATACAATAAATATTTTATATAAATTATTATTATCCAAGTAATTTTATTTAAAATTGATTCGAAAATTGAAACAATTTTTTCTTTAAATTCATATTTTAAAAATTAGTTTTTTTTTAATATTTATAAATTGTTTAAAAATTTTATATATTTTTTTATAGCAAAAAAACAATAATTTAAAATATTAGTTTTCAAAAAAAAAAAAGTAATTAACAATTTATAAAGAGTGCAATTGATGCATGAATCAAATAATTTCTTTACCAGTATAAAATTCTAGTAAATTTAACCAGACTATTTTTTCAGGAGCTAAAAATATTTTTGACTCGAGGGGGTCGTGAAATTTGTGTTTATCGAGGAAGTATTTGAAAAGTGTTACTTACACTCTGAATCTGAGGTGGCAAGACAGAAAAAGAAAGCACAAAGATAGGACGATTGTACAAGCCAGTAAGACTTTTATATTTTATTAAATATGAATTTTTTTTATACGATAAAATTTATATTTTCATAATTAAATTATATATTTTGTATTGTGTAAATTATCATAAATCTGATGCCATTATTTTTTTTTTCAAACCATTTATTTCAAATTGTACTTAAAAAAAAAAAAAAAAAAAAAATTACTTTGTACAGATTATTATATTTTTTTTAATAATCAGAAATAGTTTTTTTTTCCCCTAATATTTCATTTTTTTTATGTCTTAAACTATATATTACACATTTGCAATCAGTGATTACGAATAAATACATATATAATAACTTTAAAACTTTGGTTAATCTAGTTTGACTTAAATTTTTGAGGACAACTTGCCAACTTCAATCAATATACGGGAACTCTCTAATTGACCAAAAATTGGAAACACGAATGTAGAATATCAAGAAGTGCGAATTTCCTCTGGACGTTTATTTAAATACGTTTACGTGCACATGTATATATGTATACTGCACACTGTGGGTTATTTGAAAAGTTTTCCAAAGTTTACCAAAGTGATATGGTAAAATTAGAAAACTTCGAATTACTGAATATTGTCTTTACAGGCGCACAGTTAGCAGGATATAGACTAAAAATTCACATTGGATATCTTAGAAAATTTTACATTTAATTTACTAATTAAGTTTTTAGTGGTAAAATGGCAAGCGATATAAATTAATAAAATTTCAAAGTTCAAAATGGCGGATTTAACGCATAGAAGGCGAAATTTTCTTTTTTTTTTGATAAAATTTGTTAGAAATTTATGCTAATTGGGGGGGAGTTTGGAGTCGTTGAATTAAAATGTAGCTTTGGATTTTTAGAATCCAATATGGTTTATTTGTTCTAAAAATTGCAAGCAAAAATTAAGTTTTTTAAAACTCTTCCGTCATTTTGAATTTTGAAAATCTGACTGGTTAAAATTTTACAAAAAATAAATATTTTTTCCCTATTTCCCGTGAAAATTTAAATTAATTAAAAAAATAAAATAAAAACTACACTATATAAATACAAAAAAAATTTAAGTCTCACAAAGTTGGACAAAAAATTTTTATCAAACAGTATCTCCAGTAGATGCTCGAATTTTATAAATACTTCTAAATTAATATCATTTATAGATATATAAATATTTTTTATCTGTATATATTTTTTTTCTCTAAAGAATAAAAAAAAAATGTATTTAACCAAATTTAAGAGGTCGACTTAAATTACACGTGAAATCGCCGATAAGTAAAAAACAAAACATATTTGAAACAAACCAAATAAAACATTTTATTTTAAATTTTAAGTGAAGTAGAAAAATAAGCAAATTATTTAAATCAAAAAAATTTGTTTCTTTATAGTGTGCATTTTATTCTAGTTTTTCTGATTCTTTTTTTTCTCTGTTTTTAATAAAATGCTTGCAGTGCTAAATTTTAATTAAATTTTGGAAATTTTGAGGATATACAAGCGCAAGTGAGCGACATTAAGACAATATGCAGACATAACGTTTCGAGTTGACGCCATGCCATACGGTAGCTAGGATATCGATCTCGGAGCAGCCCGTGACGTCACATCCTGCTTATCCTTGACCCAACGCGAGTCTCGTCCTTACGATATTTCCGTATGAATTGCATGAACGACAGAAAAAACTTTACATCTTTTCAAGATATTAACTTGTCATACTGTTTACTTTGTTTTTCCAATCTCAAAATCAATTCTATGGAGATTTTCATATAGAACACAAGAGCAATTGTTGACGCTCTTATATATAGTATAGATTTCACAAAATTTTCTTCAATTCCCTAACTAATATCTCTTTTTTTTTATATAAAAATAAAAATAATAGAAACTAAGAAAGTTCAAAAAATTGTAAATAATATTAATTATATTATTATAACTATAATAAGTTTATTATTTTTTTAAAATATTATTTAATTATTATTATTATTACTTTATAATAAAATATTAACTATTTGCAGAGATTTATCATTTTTAAACATTTATTTATTTTATAATTGATAAATCACTGTATTGAGTGTAAGAGTAGGTTGAAAATGTATAAAACACGATAAAATAAATTTGCAAAAATCTGATATAATATGTTAGAAAACATTCTTTTCAGTAATATTATATGGTAAGAAGTTAGCTTGAAATTATATAAGTTGAATTAATTTACTATATACCGTAAAGTACTATGTATTAATTTTATGTGAAACTTTTGATTGTATCTGGTGAAAATTATAATAAAATTCAAATTAACAAAGATTATAGTCATT